CCCTATACTCCATGCCCACACAGATTTGAGGACAGAACTCCAAAAGTCCCATGAACCCTCACAGGAACTGGTGCAAAAGCAACCTCTTCAGTCAGAAAAGCCAAAGGATAAGAGGTGACAAGTGGTGTCCTTCCAAGGTCCATACTTGGACTGTTTAATATATTCATCAATGACCTAGACAGAGAGATTGATTGTACCCTCAGCAAGTTTGCAGATGACACCAAGCTGAGTGGTGCAGTTGACACACCAGAAGGACGGGATGTCATCCAGAGAGACCTGGACAGGCCGGAGAGGTGGGCCTGTGTGAATCTCCTGGGGTTCAACAAGGCCAAGTGCAAGGTTGGGGCAACCTGTGGTATCAATACAGGCTGGGGGATGAAGGGATTGAGAGCAGCCCTGCCAAGAAGGACTTGGGGGTACTGATGGATGAAAAGCTGGACATGAGCCAACAATGTGCGCTGGCAGCCCAGAAGGCCAACTGTATCCTAAGCCGCATCAAAAGAAGCATGGCCATCAGGTCGAGGGAGGTGATTCTGCCCCTCTGCTCTGCTCTAGTGAGACCTCACCTGGAGTACTGCATCCAGCTCTGGAGCCCTCAGCACAAAAAGGGCATGGAACTGTTGGAGCGGGTCCAGAGGAGGGCCACAAAAATTATTCAAGGGCTGGAGCACCTCTCCTAAGAGGACAGGCTGAGAGAGTTGGGGTTGTTCAGCCTGGAGAAGAGAAGGCTGCAGGCAGACCTCATTGCGGCCTTTCAGTACTTAAAGGGAACCTATAGAAAAGATGCGGACAATCTTTTTAGGAAGGCCTGCTGTGACAGGACAAGGGGCAATGGTTTTAAACTAAAACAGGGTAGGTTTAGACTGGATATAAAGAAGAAATTCTTTACAATGAGGGTGGTGAAACACTGGAACAGGTTGCCCAGAGAGGTAGTGGAGGCCCCAACCCTAGAAACATTTAAGGTCGGGTTGGACTGGGCTCTGAGTGACCCGATCTAATTAAAGACATCCCTGCTCACTGCAGGGGGGTTGGCCTAGATGACCTCTAAAGGTCCTTTCCAACCCAAAGTATTCTATGATTCTATGATATTCTTCTTCACACCCCAAAGACCCAGGACATAGCCATGCACCCCCTCAGGGTCAGCCGATCAGAGAAGCTGATCAGCTTTGCCCTTGCTATAGCACAAAGACATAGGGGTCCATTTTTCCAGCAAGTCAAGAAACTTGAGGAGAAATTATACTGTCTTGTGAATATTGTAATGCCAGTCCCAAAGCATACTAACAGGAAAAACATAGCATAACTAGGCACTACATATGAAGCAATGGTACCCAAAATTTGAAAGAAAACATTTGACACTTTCAAAGATTTCAGGATTTCTTAGGTGTCCTAGGAAATTTCCTACAGTTTACAAGTTAACCCAAAGTTGCAACTAGACAAAGAATCCCTCTAGAAATGGTGAGGGACAATGAGTCTAGTTCTAAGGACCAAAAAGCCCAGGGAGGGCAAGATTTTGTGGATATGGAAAATGGTCCAGTAGAATTAATATATGGTCATGTCTATCAATAGCCTACAAAGATTTGGAGAGGCATCGGCCCTATCATGAAAAAGCATGACCTGGGCATTACTCTTGTCATTGAGCATTTAACACAACACACAGATAACCTGAAGTATAAGCAACTCAAACTTTCAGGAGACAAACAGCTCCAATTTTTTTTTCCTTTGCTGATTTTGTTTGAAAAAAACACAAAGTTTTAAAATTCTGCCCCTGGTAATCTCTTGTTAAATAAAACCCCCAAACCTATTTTTTCAGTTCTAGTTTATAATGCGTAATAGTCCCCAACAATTTGATTGACTGATGGAGCACCTCCCCTACGAGGAAAGGCTGAGAGAGTTGGGCTTGTTCAGCCTGAAGAAGAGAAGACTGAGAGGGGACCTTATCAACACATACAAATATCTTAAGGGCGGAAGTCACGAGGATGGAAGCAGTCTGTTTGCAGTGGTGTCCGGCGACAGGACTAGGGGCAACGGGTGCAAACTGAGACATAAGAGGTTTCAGTTGAATATGAGGAAAAAACTTCTTTACTCTAAGGGTGACAGAGCACTGGAACAGGCTGCCCAGGGAGGTTGTGGAGTCTCCTTCTCTGGAGATATTCAAAGCCCGCCTGGACGAAGTCCTGTGTAGAATGCTCTAGGAGAGCCTGCTTTAGCAGGAGGGTTGGACTAGATGATCTCCCGAGGTCCCTTCCAACCCTTGCGATTCTGTGATTCTGTGAAAACTCATCCCTTTCCCTCCAAGTCTCCTATCAAGCTTAATCAAGTTTTCTTCCAAATAAGTAAAGCAAAAGGATGGGTAATTAACGTCACCAAAAGCAATAAAAGAATTATCAGTAAAGTGTAAATTTCTACCTCAGTAGAATCCAATACAGAGGTTGTTAAAGAATCTCACCAGAGTCTGGGTTTCTCTAGGTTTGCCTTTATTAACAACTTAGAGTTGGGCCATCACCTCAGTGAGTGGCAATGTAAAAAATACACCTTACATCTTATACACCTTTTCAACATGACTACATAACAGACAAAGTCTACTATAAGTTTCCACTGCATTCTTAATTCCTCTATTATTCTTGGTCAGCAGAAAGTTCTCAGTTTTCCTCTGCTGGTACATTTCGTCTCAGTCCTGTTGCAGTTCTGCTTTGTCTGGTCCATTTTCAATGTCATTGTCTTCATCCTCTGGTGGCACAGAAGCTTGGTGTTCTTTGTTAACTTATTCTAAATTCTAACCCTTGACCTTTAGTTGCAAGACATCCTTACCTTATGTCTAAGTCTAAAACTTCTACAATACCTATTGCTTAACCTTAATTTCTATTTGCTAACTTTTTTCTAACTGATTCAGCTTGGCTGGTGGTTAACCCAACCATGGAGGGAGCTGTACCAGGGACAATTGAGCAGTTTATCATGGACCGAAGGCATAATTATGTATGCCAATTCTTTAACAGCACCTACTCCAATCTAGTCTTAACCCTATAGTTACAGCAAGCTCTTATGGAATTTTCCTTAACAGAGGTCAAATTCTGTCTTCAGAAAGTTGTGCTAGGGTATCTTGAGTACAGAATAGAAATGAAGTTGGAGTGGTTGGTCAAAGCACCATATCACTCACAAGAAGAACCAAGACAAGGAAATCTGTCTCAGCTTCCCTCAAAGAGCAGCTGGCCCTGTTCTTCAGAGTCCAAGCTGATAAAGAACCTCTTGAATCAGATAAACTTTGATCTGGAACTATCTGGAGGAACTTCCCCCTGGGCAAAGGGGACATCAGGAAGAAAGCAAGAAATGTTCTGAAGGGAGAGTAAAAACAATGGTCTGTACTCCATTGCCAGATGAGTTTTAATTTACTGTTCATGCTACACTATACGTTGCAAGAAGGGACAATCCATGCTACATAGCACTGAGGAGTGCCACAGTCAAAGAATAAAGCAGACACATGTGCAAAGAAATATTAAGGGTCAGCGGTTACTTCTTCAACTCTACTTTATAATAGTATTAAATTAGAGTTGGCTGAGAATGAAAATTATTAAAATTGCCATACCAAACATTTTTTTCCTTTCTTCTTTGTTGAAATTCAGCATACAGATTAACACTTTCACTGGAATTTCAAAATGCAAACATATCTTCCAACAGTGAAGAAACACCAGCACCTGAGATTTGATGGAGTCCAAAATACATATAACTCAAAGAAAAAAAAAGTAAATAATGGAGTAAATATAACCCACCATTTGTGCGTGGAATTCATCTCCGCTCGAAGAACCAGCAAAAGACCTCTGCATACACGGTTAACATCCTCAAAACAGAATTTCAAACACAGATAATCTTCAAGCTGGGGAATCTCACAGGAGATGCTAATTCCTTAATAATTAGTACCTCAGGAAGTAGAAAGAGCAGGTTTTTCTTATATAGGCTATACAATTCTAGGAATTAATCAAGCTTCCCTACAATGCAGGTATTAAGAGCACAATGAAAGTAAACTTCTAACAGTCTGGACTCAAAATACATTTACTTCTGTAATATTTACATAACTGTATGGTTTAGGAGGAAATAAACGTATCTGTGGTATTCACCGAGGCAAGATCCTTTAAATAATTCCGCATTTCTAATTTCGTGTCTGCTGCTGATGGTTACAAAGGCGTTCTAGAAATTTGTCAACTGCATCTCCTCTTTTGCACACACAGAAAAGAGGAAGCAGAACCCTCACCACCAACTTCTCTTCATGTCAAAATCTCTTGCAGAGCTCTACCCCACTGAGTTATTTTCCTCAGCAAGCAGACTAATTAATGTAGTACACTGACAGATGGCAAAAGCTTAGATCTCAAAAGCTAGTAACAGGGGCAAACTGGCACAGTTCAAAACCTTTACAGGTCAGTTATCTTTACACTAGAGATGCCTCAGATGGTTATCAGGGATGCCCCACATCGCAGCTTTCTTAAAAAAATTATAAAAAATTAACTATAGAGAATATTTGCTACGATATGAAAGCTCTAAAGAAGCCATGAAGAACACAGCAATATAGGGCAATCTGGGGATGGAGGAATCCAAAAAAGCAGCCATTCAATTAATGTCTTGAACGGGGACATGAGCCTAGCGAGCAGATCAACTGAGCAGAGACTGTGTTGCAAAGGCAGGTGTAAATAACCGAAACCCACACCTCACGCCCACAAGCCTCTGAACTAATACAGCATGCTTCAGTAAGATTAATTAGCAAGGAAGAAAGAAGCAGAGGTGAATAAATGGATGAAGATTTATTTAATCTTAATGAATTTTAAGATTAAATTCATGAAGCATGTAATGAATTCTTCAGGTATGAGCAAACTAGGGGGAGAGGGGGCACCTTGGCATATTCTGGACTCAGCTTACTCCACCACATAAAATAGCACCTTGGAGGAGAGCTGAAGGCAAGAAGGGATTCATCTAAAGAAAGCTTCTGAGAAGTATGAAAATTTATTCTAACTAGCGGTGCCAGCTATATTTCAAGCTTGCATTAGATTCCCGTTCGACCTTTTCTTTTGCAATTACCTTTTTAATTTTGTAAAGAAGAATTTAACCCTTTGCTTTGCTGTAAGAAAACGTCTGCTTTTCATTTTAAGATTAATGAGTAAGATAGTCTGAACTGAAACTGCACTGAAGCCGTTCTGCTTTCCTCGGTCCAGCAAACCTGAGTAATACATTACAGAAAACTCTGAGACATCTGTGACCCAAGACAAGACCGGGGATCACGAATGTTTCTCAATAAGCAGCAAGAGTCTGCTTGTCAGCCGATACTGTCGTGTTCTCAAGTTAAAGGAGAAGTTCCCATTGCTGGGTAACTACCTGTGAAAATGAGTAGACTAAGGCACTTGTTGACAGGACAATAATATCACAATCAAATTGAGAACTAAATTATGCAAACCAGTGGCAGTTTTACTTCCAATATAATTAATGAAAAAGCTTTATTGCATGGAAAAAATCAAATACACCACCAGCTTTCATCAGAACTGATTCCAGTGCACACAGAGCTGTAAAAAGCAAAAGTATCCACATCTTTAGTTGTAGTATGTTTAATTTCCTTAGCACCCTTCTTTATGAGACTTTAAAATGCATTCAAATGAACAGTTTGCCATGAAGAAAAATTTGCAACTAGTTAAAATTAACCTGATACTCCTGAATACCTCTGTTAAACCATTGCATAATGTTATTTTTATTAACCAATTCAGCAAAAGCTGTGTTTGGGGCTGGTTTCAGTTTACTCATTAAGTCATTTTGCATGATAACATGAAAACTAAAAAGCAGTGTATTTCTGCTCACACATTCTGAAATGTACCTTTCTTTTCATAGTCAGCATGTGTGTACGCTCATGCAGATACCTTGTTCCTTTTCTGAAGTTTATTATCGCTGGGGTTTTTTTGCAGCTGATTCTGTCAATGAGCACCTATCTTCACAAACAGCCTTTCCTCAAGGTACCTTTCACACTTCTGCCTGTATGCTGTGATTACTTACCCAGAGAGGAACCGCAGCTACACTTGGCTGGGTACCAGAAGCTATTCAGGACCAGCACGATGCCCAAAGGCATGAAGAATCTCTCCAACAGGAACTGCGGAAGGGAACTCACATGTGCGAAACACCAAGTTAAAACATAGCCAGAGCAGATGGACTCATCCAAGCACTCATGAAAAGTTAATACAATTATTAAAGGTTGCAAAGCCAGTGTTAGGTCATATGGAGGACCTTATCTTCAACTGCAACACTCATTGTCACCACTTAACCTTGTGTGTCAAGTAGGTGGAACGAGGGCTAAATGCCACTGCAAGTCAAAATGAGCAGAGATTGTATCGCGTTCATGCTCAACCCTATTTTCCTCGGGCAAAAATAGACACAGGGATCAAAGGTGTGGAAATCACACTGGTAACACAGAGCCACCTTGCAGAATACAGAACTTTCTTATTTATTGGTTTATCAATACTGCTTCCTCTTGACTGAACAGTGACTACAAATGAGCATTCTAGTCAACCTCAGCAAATGTTTCTGAAAGAAAAAACAGCCAAACTGAAGCCCCGAGTAAAAACACAGGTTTCACAGAGGTTTTGAACCCTCCCTCAGCAGAAAGCCTCATTTCCCACGCAGTCCCATTCTTTACCCTCAATAGCCTTTCTCTGTTCTAACCCTCTGCGGTTGAGCTTCAGTGCTGATGCTTTGCAACATTTCCAAAGCTAAAAAAAAAAGCTGAGCTCTCAGCAAGGCAACCCACATTGCATCAGGACGCCCGGTCTGGCACAGTTCAGTTTCCTTCTGAAATATACATAAAAATATTTACACTTGCACTTCATTCTGCACATTTGCTATGTTATC